AGGAAAGAAAAACTTCTCCAACCACTCTTCAAATCCTACCCACCCTTCAAGACCTAGTTCAGGTACAATCACCTCTGAGTCCTCCTTAAGCTAACAAGAAACCCAACCCGCCACGATTCCATCATTCAATTCAATTCATGTATTTTTTATGCCCTGACTATGTCCGAGGTACTGGGTTTGGCACCAGGGATACAAATACAGAAATGACGAGTGTGAAACATTGTGACTACCATCAGACTCAGGGGACACGCTGGTTAGCCCTGCTGCCTTGATTTTTCTGCTAGACTATCCAGAATAATGAGCTAGCCAGAGAGAGGAAAGGAAGGAGGGGAAGAAACAGATCAGAAAATCAAAGCGGCATAAAAACAAAATCGATCAATAATTTTACTAATAATCAATTAGCTGAAGAGTAATCTAGTCCACGCCCTCAAGGAACTTACATTCTAGTGACAGTGGGCGTGCCAGTGTCTGAGGTTGGGGCGACAGCCTGGCTAGCTGTCAGGTCGGATTGGAGGGTGCTGGAAAGGCAGCGTGGAACCAGACCGTGGCACCCTCCACCTCACCCATCTGCTCGGCAGAGACCCAAATGGTGCGCGTTTGAAAGGCATGCTGAGGAAGCCAGTCTGAAGTTACACTAGAAGTCTCTGAAGCATACCAAAGAGGCAGAAGGCCCCAAGGAAGTCCAAGTCAAAAGGAACTGCCTCAAATACACAAAATGAGATAGAGTGACCTTCTCTGAGTAACTAGAAAAGTGATGCCATTGACTTGGCTGGCTGGCTCCTATCCTTTATAGTCGAAGAGACCAAAATGGCATGGCTCTGTTGGGGTCTTGACCCTGGCCCACTGCCCAGACACAGGACTAGGGGAACCGGCAGCCTTGAGGCCACACGTGGCCTTCTAGCTCCTTGGGTGCAGCCTTTCGACTGAGTCCAAGTTTTACAGAACAAATCCTTTTATGAGGGGAATTTGTTCTGTGAAGTTTGGATTCAGTCAAGGGTGGCACTTGAGGACCTAGAGGGCCATGTGTGGCCTCGAGGCCACAGGTTCCCTACCCCTGGACTAGAGAATAACCAGACAAACTGTGGTTCAGCAATAAGATTACTGCACTGTTAGAAATAAGAAAAGTGGGGGGAGGAGCAGCTAGGTGGCACAGTGGATACAGCACCTGCCCTGAAGTCAGGAGGACCTGAGTTCAAATTTGTATTCAGACCAAACACTCGACACTTACTAGCTGTGTGACCCTGGGCAAGTCACTTAACCCCAATTGCCTTAAAAAAAAAATTAAATTAAATAAATAAAGAAAGAAGAAAAGGGAAGAATCTAGGGAAATATGGGGAGGGAAGAGGAAATGCAGGGCAACAAGTAACTTGGGGACCACAATAACATGAAGGAAAGACGTCAACACTCTGATCGCTGCAGTGACTAACGATGACTCCAATGGACCGATAAGGAGGCTCCCATCCCATCTCTGGGTGGGGAAGTGGGAGACTACAGGGGCCGAATGGGGCATCCCTCCTCGGGCAGGGCCCATGGGGTCATTTGTTCAGCTCAGCTCTATTTCTTTGTTGTGAGGGACCATGGGAAGTGACAGCCACGTTTTGTTTTGTTTTGTTTCTAAAAGAGCCTCAACAGACCATTTACTTACTGCTTTAAGTGTTTTAAAATGAATTTACAGGACTTTCCTTGGGAGGCCCAGTGGCAGCACTGCCAGGCTCGGAACGGAGAAGCGTGCCTCTCTCGGGACACACAGAAGTGGCACAAAGGACAGATGACAGTCGCAGGGAGGGGGGCCTGGTGGCACACCACCACTCGGGCCCACACTGGTAACAACAAGGGCCTTTACGAAGCTCGGCTGGGCTTTCTGGGCTCCAGCTCGGCATCTCCTCACTGAGACAGCCTGAGCTAAAGGCCTCGGAAGAGCCCCTGAACCTGAAAGTTTATGACCTGCCACCACCTTCACGCCAATGGAGAACCCCAACACCTCAAGAATCTTGTCCCAGAAAAATACAAATTCCCTCATCCTTGCCACACCATCATCTTCTAGCAAGATGTGTAAATCACAGAGAACTTACTATACTGAGTCAGATAGCATTTGCCACCTATACAATAACTGCCAGATTCAGACACAACCCTTTTCTTGAATTTTCAAGTTCCAGTCCTCTGGGGCAAGGCAAAAAGCCTGCAGATTGATATGGATGAATGACCCCAAAGACGAAGGCTCTCACAGCTCACCTCTCCCAAAAACCAAAAGCCCCCTCCAGGGGTGAACCATACGCACTAAGGAGATGTGCTGAAATCTGGCCCGTGACTAACATCAGAAATGGAGTATCAACGCCTGACACAGGCAGTCGGCCTGCCTACTGTAAGACACCACCCAGAACCTCACCTTGGGAGGCAGGTGCCTAACACTGGGTGCCCAGAGCAGAAGTGAGTGAGAAAAGCAACTTCTCAAACATGTGCTAACATCAATGCTCATTCACAAATGTCATTTACGAAAATGCAAAGAGCGTCCACTCCAGAAACCAAACTAACATCAGAGTCAGTCCAGTGTCTGTTTAGATTGAGCTACTCAGAGAGGCACAGCCGGGGTGCAAGCCAGTCCCTGCCCTCCAAGAGCTTCCAGTCAACTGCAAGTGAAAGGACAAACGCCCAGCTGCCTCTAATCCAAGGCAAAAAAGTCCATGAAGAGCCAGAAGAGAGGCACAAAGTGTTAGTGGGCATTCAGCAGTGCTTAATAAATACACACTGATAGATTACAGCATATTTTCCCAAAGAAGAAGGCACGATTCTCCCTTCTGGATTGTATCAGTAGCCACATAATCAACAATTTGCTGAGCATGGGTCAGTTCCGCTGGGTCGTGCGGCCTCTCGACACCTGACAATCTCATGAAGTCATCCACAAACCCACAGACACCCAAGACTGCACACTTGTGGAGCCTAGCATATCTGAATCCCCACCCCTACCCCCCCAGGTCCTCCTACACAACAGACACTTCCTAATTCAATTCCAACACCTCTTTTTTCCCCTTCTCTAAACCCAGTTTCCTTGGAAGACCCTGTGCTCGCTGGCCCCTGGCTACCAGTCCCCAGCCCCCGGTCCCCAATCTCTGGCCCCTCATCCCCAGACCCCAGCACCTGCTTCCCAATCTCCGGTCCCCCACTCCAGGCCCCTGGCCCCGAGTATCCAGTCCCTGTCCACCCTCTCCAGCTGAAAGGATCCCTGGGAGGAGTTGGGGGCTGGAAGGGCCCTCCCTCACTTAGTCATCACCTTGCCCTCCACTGCTCACAGCCCCCCATCCTCTTCTCAGGCCCTTGCCCTACTCATCTGTGTACTCTGTGGCACGGAGGTAGCCAAGCCTGCTTCTCAGCTGTGCCAACAGAGGGCATGCTCCTGAGGGTGGGCCTGGCAAGGACACACACATCTATCCCCTGTCCAAGTACAGAGCCTCACTTTGGAGGGGCTCACTCCAGTGCTGGCTCAAAACGCTGGAAGCCACTCCTCAAAAGCCTCTAGCAAGTCAGAGAGGGGTGAACTGCCCCCAATGACAGAATCACAGACCCTCAGGGACAGAAGGAAGGCCTTGGTGGGTGGTCCCCCAAGCATAGCCAGAGGACACATAGTAGATACTTTGTGGAATGGGGGCAGGGGACAGGCACAAGGAACTCAGCTTAACTGGAGAAAACAGTCTGAGCATCCCAATGGGAAGCCCTGGCACACCCACAACAGGGCTCCCTCCCGACCACTGGGGCGAGGATTTGGGGCCCAGGCCCCTGGAAGGGACACGCACGACCCCCTGCGGAGGACCCAAGAACAGAGAATATTCACAGTGCATGGAGGCGGCCCCTTCTCTTGCTGGACAGCTCTCGCTGACAGTCGGCCCTCCAGTGAAATCTACGCTGCCCATACACATGGAGGCCAGTCAGTGAGTCAGTCAGCAAGCATTCATGAAGCACCCCCTCACATGCCAGGCACTGCACTAAGAGAACCCTCAAAAACCCACTTTGGCCAGTAGGCAAGCTGTGAGTAGAAGGGGCTGGGGAGAACCCACCAGACGTGGGCTATCACCAAGGGGTTTCTGATGTGTATCTGAGAGGAGGAAACCAAAGGGTGAAGCGGGAAGTATCTCTGGCAACCAAAAACGAGGTGGCCAGAGACCCAGCAGAAGAAATGGCCAAATGGCCAGCAGGCTCTGGAGAGGGGCATTTAGCAGTCGAGAAACTGGCACCATCACAGCACCATCCAACTTCAGGACAGAGAAAGAACCCATGAGGGCACGAAGTCTGGTCATCCCACACTGATTAAGTGTCTCCTGTGTATCAGGCCTGGGGGAGGAGGGGGGCAAAGAAAAGGTAAACAAAATATGCTGAGGGCAGGGGCAGCCAGGAGGCTCCTGGAGGTGGAGGCAGGAGCAGCCAGGGAGCTCCTGGAGGCAGGAGCAGCCAGGGGGCTCCTGGGGGCGGGGGCAGGGGCAGCCAGGGGGCTCCTGGGGGCGGGGGCAGCCAGGGGGCTCCTGGGGGCAGGGGCAGCCAGGGGGCTCCTGGGGACAGGGGCTGGGCTTTGCCTTTCTCTGTATGCCCACTGTTTGGCACAGTGCCTGACACACAGCAGGCACTTAATCAATGTTTACTGACTCTGCAAAGGACCAGGAAAAACAAACTCGCCCACCGTGGGAGCCTATTTCTGCTTGCCTCTTGGTCCCTGGGTTTACTCTGGGTCACACTCAGTGTAGGCCCGATGGGGGGGGGGGGAGATACACAGCTCCAGACCCAGGCCCAGGCCCCGCCCCTCCCGGGCTCAGGTTCCCTTCCTTCATATCCAGGCCCCGCCCCCTATGGACCAGGTTCCTTTCCTAGAGGCTTATGCCCCGCCCCCTCAGGCTCAGGCCCCGCCCCCTGAAGTTCAGGTTCCCTTCCTTCAGGCTCAGGCCCCGCCCCTCCGCCCCAGGCCCCTAGCCCTGGCTGGGGCCCCTGGGGCCCTCGGTCTCGTCCTCAGGCCTCACCTGGGCGCAGCGGCTCGGTGCCGGTGAGCACCAGCAGGAAGAGGAGCACGAAGGCGCCGCTGTCCGCCTGGGGCACCATTTATCCTCCGTTCATCCTCCGCGGGCGGCGCGGGCCCACGCCGGACCCCGGAGCGCTCCGCTCTCCACGGGCTGTGCCGGGCTCTGGGGATGGGAGACGGGGCGGTGGAGGGGGTGGGGGGCGGTGGCTCCCGCTCTCACGCCTTCCGAGGCCTGGGCCCTCGCTCTCTCGCTTGGAGGCCGCACGCCTGAGATCAGGCTCGAGCTCAGGCCGGGGTTCGGGCGCCGCACAAGATGGCGGCCATCCCGCTCCTCTCACAACAAGCCTCCTCCCGGCCACGCCTCCACCGCGGACCAATCAGCACGCGTAGCGGCGTCTGTGGGCGGAGCCCCAGGTGCTCATCTGCGTACAGGGGAAGGACATTTTGGTCGGGCTAGGGAGATCAAGGGGCGCTCGGCCGGGCCGCGGGCACTGTGGCCGGCCTGCGAGGCAGGGCAGCGGCCGTCGAGGCGCAGCGGAGCTCGACTGCCGGGCGAGAGTCGCGATGGCCGCCCCCGACGGTGGCTGCGAAGGAAGAGAAGCGAGAGCAGAAGCGGGAGGCTCCCCCCTTCCATTCAGAGTGGTACGATCCTGCCTGGACTGGAGACGGATGGGGCGGGGGAGCGGAGCCTGGGGTGGGCGGGGCGAAGCAGGTAGGCGGGGCCTTGGGAGCAGTGATTGAAGCTGTCATCCTGTAGGGATGGATGTTCCATGGGTGAGGTTCTCCCCCCACATCGCTCCCCCCGCCCCGCAGCGCCCCAAGCCTTAGGCCGGCCCAGCCCACCACCTCCCGTGGGAGGCGTAGGAGAGGCCCCAGGCCAGGAGACTGATCTAGGGAGCCTCGGCTGCATTACATCACATCCCCACAAGGTGACTCCTTTTCTTCATCTCTAAAATGGGGACAATATCCTCAGACTCTAGGAGCCTCGGGGGACACCCCCTCATTTCCCTGGGAAACTAAGGGAAGCCCAGAGAAGCCAAGGGATCTGCTCACCCGAGGTCACCCAACCATTAAGCCTTCGTGCAATATCTGAGCCCAGGATGTCCCACCAAAGGCCAGCTTTCTATCTGGATGGATGAACGAATGAATAATATATGCACGCATGAATGGATGGATGGATGGACAGACAGCAGGATAGATGGACAGATGGGCGGAAGGATGGGTGGATGGATGGATGGGTGGGTGGGTGGGTGGGTGGATGGATGGATGGATGGATGGATGGATGGGTGGGTGGGTGGATGGATGGATGGATGGATAGATGGACAGATCAATAAATGTGAAAGCATTTTTCAGCAAGTACTATGTGCCAAGCTCCGTCCTAGGCCTTCAGACTCATCATACTTTCTAGAAATGGGAGTTTTATAGGCATATGGTCTTGAAAGCACCACTAGAACCTTCTCAGGCACCTCGCTGCCCCCGGGAGTGACACTGGGCTCTTGGAGGCTTTGTGCAGGCTCCTGCCAGTCCTATCAAAGTCACAATATCAGGGCATCAATAGTGCAAACCTCACCCATGGATCAAGAATCTGACACGCAGCCTACACAAATGGTTGTCCAACCTTTCGATCAACCTGTAGCTCAATCAGAAAGCTCTTCAGTCAACCAACAAGCATTGATTAATGTCTATGAAGTGCTTATTACGTTTAGTATGTGCTAATCCACAAACAAAGCACTCATGTCTCCCTGGGCATTCTCTCTGGCCGCCCCTCCCCATGCCTGGGACACTCCACCTCCTCCACTCTGACCACTGACCTCCCCAGCTTCCTTCAAGTCCCAACTAAAACCCCACCTCCTACAGGAAGACGTCCTCAACCTCGCTTCATCCCGGTGCCTTCTCTGTTAATTATTTCCTATTTCTCCTGTCCACATAAATTATGCTCACATGGGCTATTTGTGCCCAACTTCTGAGCTCACAGAGATCTGATCAGCCAGTCAGACACACTGTACCCTGACCCCAGCATAATGATGTCACATTGGTCCTCTCGAAGAAGACCAATGGTGGCCAACCACCAACCATCTCTCCTGTCCTTAGTTTGCTGTGTATATATTTGTTTCCATGTCGTCCCCCGTTAGATCGTAAACTCCACAAGCACAGGAACTGTTTTTTGCTTCTCTTTGCTTAGCACGAGGCCTGGCACATAGTAGGTACTTAATAAATGTTTATTGAATGAATAAATGAACCCACTAGCCTTGTGCTGGGCACTGGGGATATATAAAGCCAAACAGGGCCTGTCCTCAAGAACTTACATTCCATAGCAACTCTCTGCATCTGGGGAGAGCTCTAATTGTCAGAAAGTGTTTCCTGACATCCCCCTAAACCTGCCTCTACGACTTCCACACAGGGCTTCCACGGTTATGCAGAGTTCTGGGCCCCGGGCAGAACCATTCTCATTCTCTTCTGTGAGGCAGTCCTCAGCTAGCAGCTCTGTGTAGCTCCAAGGTTTATAAACTGATTGACATGTCATCGTTTGATCCTCACAACAAACCCAGGAGGAAGGCACCACCATTATCCCCACTCTGCAGATGATGAAACTGAGACAGAGAGGTTCCCCAGGGTGACAGCCTTGCGTCGGTGGCTGGATTCGTCATCTTCCTGACTCCAAATCGCGCTCTGTAGGCCCGATGCCGCCCAGCTGTCCAAGTCCTCTAAATCTCTTCTCCCAAATCCTTTGACCAACCCATGGGTCTCAAAATCCCCTGCTCACCCTAGCCGCCATCCCCTGGACACTCTCCAGTCGGTCAGTGTCCTTCCCAGAACGTAGTGTCCAGAGGCAGGGATCGCATCACCATTGTCTCTGCATCCCCAGCGTTTAACACAGTGTCTGGCACATAGTAGGTTGCTTAATCAATGCTTGTTGAATGTAGGGTGACCAAGGCCAATCAGGCCAGTGGCAGAATGATCACCTCCTAGTTCTAGACGCTCTGCCTCTCAAGGAAACATCAATTCAGATTAGGAGCTGGGGCTTTTTATTTCTCTTGCTTTGTTATCTCACTGTTGACTCAGACACATGCTGCTCTCTACACACACCTCCCCCCATCCTGTGCTTTGGAAATTGACTATTTGAACCCAAACGTAAGATTTTGCATTTAAACCTCTCAGATTCCCTCTTCTCCTGTGCAGCCTGCAGAGGCCTTTTTGGATGCCACCTCTTAGCTAACGTGGATGGAAAGGCTTCCAGTGTGAGGCCAGTGACCATCAAGGCCACTCTCTGAGGGCCAGCATAGCTTAGCGCAGACAGGCTCATCACCACAAGTTCAGGCCACAGATTCTAAGTCTCCACGTGAAGTCAAGGAGTGGCTGTGACTGGTGTCAGTACGCAGGGAAGCATGGATCCTTGAATCACTGACATGACAGATGTCGGAGAGGAGATACGGTTCCTTTCTACATCCAGGGTCTGGTGGGAGCTCACCAGTGAGAGGAAGCTGCAGTGAATCCTTTGGTAAAGCAAAATCATTGCTCAGTCAGTGACGTGGCTTTAAGTCTGGCCTTCCACAGCATCACTCAGGGCATACCTCGACCCGTGTAAGTGAAAAGGAGGCTAGGCAGGGAGCAGGTCCCCAGCTCAAATTGGACTCTAGCTGTTTGTGATTCAGAGGGTACTTTGGAAAGCAAAGGCCTCCCAGAGTCCAGTTTGCTCCTTGGAAGACAGCTAGAGTTTCCTGTTCTTGGAAAGGATCCCCAGGGCACTCCAGAAAGTTCTAGACTATTAGAACAAGAACATAACAGTGAAGAGAACCCTGGAGCCTGGGTCCCAGGAAGCCACTAACTCACTCTGTGAAGCTGGTCGTGTTCCTTGACTTTTCTGAATCTCAGGGTGGTCCTATGCCTACGGAGGGGTGATTGTTCCCTGTCTGCATCACAGGGCCACTGAAGGGCTTCAAGAGATACAGTCATAGAGGGCAGCTAGGTGGCGCAGTGGATAGGGCACTGGCCCTGGAGTCAGGAGGACCTGAGTTCAAATCCAGCTTCAGACACTTGACACTTACTAGCTGTGTGACCCTAGGCAAGTCACTTAACCCTGAATGCCTCACCAAAAAAAGAAGAGAGAGAGAGATAAAGGCCTGAACATGCCCCATGAGATGTGCAATGTTCACTAGCTGGAAAAGAGCTCTGATGGAGAAAGGAGATTAAACTATCTTGAGATCAGAACTCGGATCAATGAAGATTCTTTAAGGCAGTGAGGGAAAGACTCCTGACAGGGACAGACTACCTGTGAACATAATCCCTGTCCTCCAAGCAGAGGCTGGATGGCCCCTTTTCAGGGATGCTGAAGAGAGTATTCCATCCAAGGTCCTGCGAACTCTAAGATGCTACCATTATCTAGTTCAAGTCTCTAGTTCTGACAGAAAATAAGACCAGAGAGAAGTGAAGTGACTTACCCAGGGTAACACAGGGAGTGTTACACAGAGCCAGGATTTGAACCCAATGCTCTTTCCACTATACTGTGTTACTCCAGAATCCTAGATACAGAATCCTGTATCAGCAAGCAAAACCTACAGTACTCAAAGGAGATCAGGAAGGAAAGGAAAGGGGATGACCAGAGGCTGAGACTGCCCTGGAATAGCAGGTGAACAGTTAACAAGATCCAGGGGTGGCCTCCCAGTGTGGAGAGGAAACCATAAATGCCTCCACCCCATCAGGTGGACCCCACCCCTGCCCCCTGATGGAAGATACGGGGGAGAGGGGCAGGATGGTCTGTGACGCACATCACTGGAGGGAACTCCAGAGCCAGAGAGATCGCTGACCCATCCGAGTATGTGATATAAGCGAGGTATAGAAAGGGAAGACCCAAGCACACCAACGGTGCTCATGCCTACTGTGGAGGTGTCCATCATGGCACCCAAGCTGAGCAGAGATCCCTTCCCTTGGGATACTCCTGGTTGCAAGTAACAAGGTGGGGAATCCATCGAGCACTGAGCACTGAAAGCCCCAGACATGAGATGCACGACCACCCACCCAGGAAAGATACAGGCCAGTTGCCTCGAATGCGGCTGGCTGCTGGACGGGCAAGGGCTTCAGATCTACAAAGCACTTTCCTTGGTGGATCTGGGCTTGTGATCCCAGCTCTGCCACGGCTTACCTGT